AAAATTCTTACCTCTGGTATGTATGCTTGTTTGAGTTCGTTGTACTTGTAACCTGCCTTGACTATGAACTGACTCGGAGCCATATGTTTGTCTTTGTTCAACAACTCGCAATAGTCCCCAGAACGTTGGTAGGCAACACACAAACAATCCCCAATGCAGGCMAGAAAACAKTCCCTCATAMTTGACGTGGTGAGATTTTTGTAACTGTATCCGATKAGAGCATGATCTTTGACATGATCTACGGCTGAATAGGTAAGAAAGATGTTAATGTTCCTGTGTATACAGTGTGTAGTAACAGGGTGCAGTGGGTACTAACAGGGTACAGTGGGTACTAACAGGGTACAGTGGGTAGTAACAGGGTGCAGTGGGTACTAACAGGGTACAGTGGGTAGTAACAGGGTGCAGTGGGTACTAACAGGGTGCAGTGGGTGCTAACAGGGTGCAGTGGGTACTAACAGGGTACAGTGGGTAGTAACAGGGTGCAGTGGGTACTAACAGGGTACAGTGGATACTAACAGGGTACAGTGGGTAGTAACAGGGTGCAGTGGGTACTAACAGGGTGCAGTACTAAAAAGATAGTGCATAGGCTTACGTGTTTCGCATTGTTGTCCATAGTATCCAGTCTTACACACACAAATGTATGTGTCTTCTTCGTAATTTGGACTACAGGTCCCTCCATTTCGACACGGAAAAGATGAGCAAGGGCTCTGAATTGAAAGGAATGAAAATAATCATCAATRAGTTGTCAACGAAAAATAATTTTTTAAAAACTGGTTTCAGGATTTTTTATTCATGGCTTGCAATCATTCCAAGAGAGTCAAAGAACTAAAGAGGTGGCGGCCATGTTTATGGTACTAACAAAGGAAGAAATACCACCATGGATACCATGACATAACAGCCTAGTGATACTTAGGGAATTAATTAAAAACGTGTGGGAGTATTTTTTTTGCAGATTGTTTCTAGAAAATTCTAGAAATTACTACCATTATCGTTGATGTGCGACCCGCGAGGTTTAATTTTTWAAAAATCTTGATTTAGATCTTAGATTTAATTCTCTGATCCTCTAAATTCTTTAATTGATTCAAAATCTCCCTCAAAATACAAATATTTTAAAAATAATATTTCCGTTCTTTGATTGACGGTCGTTGAAATACTAGTCGGCGAACCAGACATCAAACTTCGAGGGTCGTACTTCAACGACAATGGTAGTAATTCTAATACATCAAAATACCAAGTATAGAGCAGATCGATCCCCTGTGACTGAACTATAATTGATCCCTAACTACGGATCACAACAATGAAAAATATTATGATATCAATGAAAAAGTTTTCAATCCTCAAGAAAAGAGAATTCTCTTTGAGCCCCAGGTTGGGAATAGACCTCCAGCTTGGATGTAATGTTTTCATTATCAGTCCGCGTGTCATTCTCTTCAGAATAAGATTGACAACAGACTCGTACCCAGTCGTCATTTGTTTCGCACGGTTTTTGCGCGCGGTGGCTTTTACCGGGAACTCACTAAATCCTTCCCATACATACATACATACATACATAACCTTTATGACAATACGGAATCTCTTCATAAAAATGCTCTTCCAGAGAGCCGTATATACAATAATAAATAATAAATAATTAGATCAAATAATATGTACAAAATTTGCAAATTACTCTATGTATCCTACTGTTCTAATTTACTACAATCTACTAAAAATAGATTAATAATACTAATAATACGTTATTCTGAGTTTTTTACAAAAAATTTAAGATTTGGTTGCCCTCTAGTATGATTGGGCAAATTATTCCAGAGAACTGCTYCCCTGTAATGGAAGCTGAAGAAATCATACTCTGGGGAATGACACATGGTCTGAAAATGAAAAATATTATTGAAGGCCAGTT